TTGTTAAACAGAATAACGCGTTTTGGTGACGTAAACGTTTGACAATCGGTTGTGTCATTAATAACTTTATTCACGATCAATCACATGGCCAACCCAGAGCTCGCGGTCGTTTTTATCGTAAATGCATGTTTCCTATGTCGCTCGGAACAATGTACACCGACACTAATGACGCGTTAATAATCTGGAAAACGCAAGCGCTGACATAAACGCATCCCCGAGCTTTAAAAGGCTATTTTTATCCTACGGAAAGCCGACAAGGCGTGACGCATTACTCACTTCCGATATTAAAACGCCATATAAATCGCTAAATCCTCGTTTTATCGGACGTCCAACTATTTCTTCATTATCTAACAGCTTTTCATTTGCTGCTAAATATCACGTCATAGACTTGAATGCATTACAGGTGTTAATAAATCAATTAATAGAAATAAATATATTTTCGATTAAAGCAAATCTTAGTGCTATAATACTAATAATGCTAAATGCAAATTTTTTGCAAATGTATTAATAAAAAAAAAATCTCATAGTCACATCGTTATTTCTTTCGAGATTATTTTCTCGATAGTAAAATAGTTTATATGAGTTGCGTGAGTTTCGATTAATTCGACGACCCTTCGATCTCAGAGATGCACCTTCAAGATAGTCAAAATAGAAATTTTTTCACCTCAAACTTTTCGTTTGCGATAAAACGAAAAGTTCCTGGGAGAATCGCGACGCACGGGAGGACGCAACGTCGTAAAACGCGTCCCGACGCCGCTCGTCGCAAGATGCAATTTAAGTGTATTCCACGAACGTAACTGTGACTATCAAACTATAATACAGTCATTCGGCTGACTAGTAGAGAATTACGTGCTCGGCAAAGAATCGCGTGTTTGTGGGCGGCTTTTACGAGACTCTTAAAAGTAGACTTAAACGCTCGTCCGTTACCTTTACCGCGACTACAAACGCGGTGCGTAAATTTTCGGTCTGACGTTACGACGCGGTGCGTTACGACGTTACTCTGACGGTTTGATAAGAGACGTCGCGAGCGAGCGAGCGATTAGATCCCGCAAATCGATGTAACCGCCAAACCGCTACTGACCTCGAGCCTGTCTAATAATGTACGAAGGCTACCGTGATATATCGAGTTCGGATTTCTAACGCGAGATCGAGTGGGATTTAGGGAGGATCTTCTCCGTCCGACGTTGCGGCGACGATAAAGGATTTACGAGTGGAATTTCGTTCCCCGCGGTTGTAATGGCTTTCCTGATGAAGATTGAATTCGACCCTCCCGGCGCTTTTCGGATCTCTGAACGTCCGGGCTTCTCTTTCCTCTCTTTTTTTTTTTTTGCAATCGATAAGATCGTGAAGATTATCGTTTATAGACGCCTCTTTATTTGTGTAGACAAACAAGTGAATTTTTCGGAACTGGCGTACTAAAGTTAAATGGAGGTTAAAGGGGAACAATTCGCGAATGCTCAGAAGCTGAATAGGATGTATAGTCATTCTTTGTTCTGACTGATGACTGGGAAACAGTGCTCGTACGAATTGCTAGCTACTGCCTGGAGAATGCACCATCCTTATCTTCCAAGGAAGATTAATGTAGCGAGCACGCGAACGCACTCGAGACTCGATCGCATGCATTACTACGCATAGTCATTACATGGTTGTGTAAAGCTGTATGTCTCTTCACATGACGTATTCGCGACTAGTCGTGTAATATTTGTTTCGCTGAAAAAAAACCGTTATTTGACCGCGTTCAACAGAAAAAGTGACTTTGCAACTGTTGTAACATATAACTAGAAATCACGTCAGGGAGAAAATGTCAGGGAAATTAAAAAACGGTCAGAGAAATTAGGGAAAAGTCAGGAAATTTCGCAAAATTTTCTGAAAAATTAAAATTCTCGGCTTTAAAGAAGTTTCGTACATCATACCCATGTAGTTTTGGAATACTGTCAACTTAACATTTAACATTTAATTAATTAAATGCAAGCAATGTCAGCAACATTAATACGAGTAGTAATTGACATTGTTATTTTAAATTGTTTTCTCAACGAAATTTTTAACGATTTCCAAATCAGGAAAAAAATACAACAAATTTCAAAATATTGTATTTAAAAGCCAGGGAACTCATGAAGTTTTGTCTGGAAATCAGGGAAACTTATGGAGCTTTATGATGAGGAATTTGTGGCAAGTCTATAGAAGTAGGTCATTACTGAACGTTTCTATTTTTCAGATTAATATTGTATTACGTAAAAGATAACTAATGATTCCAGGACTGATGATTCCAGCAATATTCTAGTAACATTACAAACATTGCAACAATATTGCTGCAAATTCTGTGTTGTATGGATAAGATTCTGCAATGTTTAACTTACCAATAATTATGTCATTTAAGTGATATAAAAAATTAAAGTTTTTCATTACTTTCTTTATTTTTATAATAATTTATTTCCTTTGAATAAGAAATGTCAGTAGTTCTAATGTTAATAGATTGATTACATTTAAATCCAGTGAAGAATTAAGAACGATGATCAATCATAATAAAGAATCTTACAAAAGTTGCAAACTATTTTCTGTTCAACGGAGTCATTCTTTAACGTTGCTGTGCTTTGTAAATAGCCGCAATTTTCAGAGAGTCACAGCGAGATATCGAAGCGTTTTTGCGATGCGAGATGATCACATCTCGGGGCCCTCATAGTTCGCTCCGTCGAGAATGTTTTTCGCGCAACACTCTTGTCGCCTAAGAAGTTGATGCTTCGGATGCGTCGTAAAAAAAATTTCATTTCCAAAGTATATTATCCGACACTATTCGCGTACATTGCTCGTGCAACGCTAAGAGCAGTTTTACAGTTACTGCGGATACAACACGCGCTTTACGACGGGACGCGGCCAGGTGAAATCTTCCTTGTGAAAGATCAGTGTTTAAGCGACAATACGCACTGCACGTTGCACTGCTAATTGTTAGTCCTGTGCTGATTGTTAGTCTTGAATGCTGCATGCCGTCGAGGACGAGAGCACCGATATACGCGACGTATACACACGTCGATCAAGTTTCGCATCATCTTCCTGTCGGAAGTTACCTAAGGATTTATTATCTCGAGAGAGAAAAGGAAAGAACAAGAGTAAAAATTGAAGAGTTTCGATGAAACAAGTGGATAGCCAATTTAATCCATTCATGGCGAGATTTTCAAAATGCAGATTCTTAGCGATCTAAGGATCCTGTTGAAGACCCAAGAAACGCAAGTCTCCAAGGAGTTTAAAAAAAGCTTCAGAATCCACGGAGATACAAAGCTTCAGGGGGGAAGGAAAGAAGACGGGGATCTTTCACTGTTATTTATAGACAGATTACTTCGCTTCGCTTACTTCGTCGCATGCGATACCGAAGATTTATAAGCGAAGCGGGGCGAAACTTTCTTCGGCGTGTGTGTGCGCGCGTAAAGGTAATATGACTTGGGGAAGCCGCGTTTCCCATGATTCTCACAGATCATGATACGGCCCTCGTGACATTCACATAACGGCATAGCCACGATCTCACGTGACATATTTTATCAGTGCATTCGATCATAAATCGCGCGCGCTCTCTTTACCATTCATCTCCCCTTTTTGAATCATCTCATCACGCCTAATCTATCCGCTATATCCGTTGTTACCAGGATGCCCCGCAAGAGATGCGTATCGGCCGTAGGAGTTATTATCTTCCAAGCAACTTTCAGTCCATTTTTCTTTAGCGAAACCCATAATCTCGGACTTAATTCCCGAGCTCTTCGGGAAAATGAAAATTAAAGAGCGCTCGCGCGGTAAGCGCACTTGAATTAAATTCCTGCTAAAGAAAAGTCGACGCTAAATTCCTTGAGAAAACAACTCCCGCCGCTCGTATATGTCTCTCTTAAGGGCACCCGCAATTACAATTAATGCATAGTCTAACTAAGGAGTTAAATACAGATCTCGGGATTTTTCGGAGGATCCGGTGCGTCAATACTTGGGATACTTGGACTCTCACCGTCCTCGGGATCCCCGAATCATCGGATTCACCCTAATAATCCCGAACGATCGACTGGTTTGCGAAAATATTTCCCTTGTGTGCGAGAAATTTGGGCGGGAGTTATTTACCCCCCCCCCCCCCCCGCCTCTCTTTCGTGTATTTCGGCCGAAAGAGACGTTAATTTGCGGTCTCGATAGAAATCCTCGGGAGCTCCATAGATCACAATTAGCTCCCCGCGAGCCGTAGGCGATACGAAATTTTCCGCGACGCGAAATGCGAAGCTCGCGGCGTCGTCGTCTTGCCATTACTCACGATGATATCGTGGCGGTGTAGCGATACCGTCGTTTTCATGCGAAATGACGTTTATCGTAATTGCACGTCCGGGCGCATTGAGCGCAGTAAATTTCCGTGGCGCGTCCCCCTATTAATTACCTCCTGATAATCTCGACTTGTAATTTACAATACGCCGGAGGACCCTCCATCGAAAAATCGCGCCGTCGCGTTCACGACGAGCGCGACGGGACAATTCGACCGCGGAATGAATCGCTCGATTAATCGCAGTTGCAAATGACTGATCGTTGTGATCAGTGACTAATTAAACCTGCACCGCTCGCTGCTGTAACGAGCGAAATAATATCGTTTTCTACGGTCGTTCGATCAATTTACAAGCGGTATTAATTCCCGAATATCGACAACGGTTAAAAAAAAAAAAAAAAAAAAATAACGATAACGCGATCAATCTTCCGTTGACGGGAGGAAGAACGTGTATCCCTCAAAAACGGTTTCATATCGTCTGAAGAAACGATCGAAGGACGGATCAATTTTTCTTCCGGAAAGGAGTCGCGTGCTCCAAGATAAAAAAAGAGTCTCTCGCGCGCGATCCCCCTCTCTGTACCTCGTATCGTCGAATGATCTTTTTTTTTATTTCTTTTTTTCTTAATCAATTGTGTACATGTGTTTACTACCTTTATATTGACTCAATGATGTTATTCTGTGGTGCTTTGCATGTCTCTATTGGACTCTGCATGTCGTATAGGGCATCGTAAGTACTTACTAAATGAACTCGTCATGAGACCTACGAATACACACCGACACATTTTCAGACTCCAATCTCGTCGCCAGTGAACGGGCGGATTCGCGAATCCATCGATCTCTGGACGCGCGCGGATTCCTCGGAGCTTCGAATCCACACGAATGCCGATGCATCTCGGGATCCCTGGATTCGCGAATCGTCCGATCCCTGGATGTTCGGACTTCTCCAAGCCGGAAGATCTCCGAAACTTCGAATTCTCGGATTTCGAGAACGCTGGATCTCTCGATCCTTGGGTTCGGATGATCGGGATCGAGAATCCTTGGATTCTGATCATTCAGGAATAACCGAAGGACCGTTTGATCCTTGAATACTTAGATCCTTATACACAAGTAGTAGAATCTACGACTGAATCTACGCCATTTATATGAAAATGCGATCGAGGAATCTCGTTCCTCTGATCCGTTCTTTATAGAAAGAAAAATTCAATATAATGAAGTTAGGAATAAATGGATGGAGAATAAAACAATGAAAAAATCGACAAAATATGGCTTTGTGTTAAATCAAAATAGAAATAAAAATAAATTCGTTAGTAAAAGTATAGTCAGTAATTACAAGTTTTAAGATCTTAAAATTTTTTTCTCTCTAATTATAATTTACTCGATCCACGAAGCTAACGAACATTCAAAATTTTTTAAATAATTAAGTATCCGTAAAGAAATCTCAGAATCACCGACGATCTCGGCTACGTGCTATTCGAGACGGTACTATTCCGAGATGTATTTTTGCTCCAGAATGAAAAGTTCACCGACACGTATACAACTTCACGGTTCGAAGCTCTGAATACAAAAGAACGGAGTTAGCGAGACGAAAAAATAGAGGAACGAGCCTTCGCCGATCGATACGATTTCAAGTTGCGGAAAAGAATTCTCTTCCGCCATACGGGCGAGCCCTGTCACATTCTCGCCCTGTATTTTTATTAATTTATCCTGGCATAGGAAACCTTAGCAGAGAGTAGCCATATATCGTTATTAAACTTGCCCTTGTCGTTCGTTCGGATAGATAACTCGGCTAACGACCGCCGATCAACTTCTATTACGATTTTGCCCGTTTCCTATATATATATATATTGTATATCTTTCTGTCTCTTATCTTTGTCGGTCAGTTTCATCTCTCTTTTTTAGTTTTTTGTCAATATTTTTCTCTCTCAACGCCTTCAGATGCCTAGTTAATCCCCCTTTTTGTTACTTCCCGGCTTTCCCATCGGCCTCAAGCCTCGAACCTGAAGAGAGATTAACGAGGTACGAGCAAAAAAGAATGAAAGGGAGAATGGGAAAGAGGGGTGAAATAAATAAGCGATGAGGGGGTAGAAGGGGGTTCGGAAAAGAGAGGGATTTGTGCCACGGGGGAAATGCCGGCGGCGTTTGGCAGACACGGAAAAGGGGAGAAATGACTTCCGCGGATTTTTCTCGCTCGAAAGCCGATGTTGTTCTAACCCGAGGGTGCATAAACTCCATCCTTTTAGTAATATTACCCGACCGGTATGAGAATCGTGTAATTTTGCACTCACATACGAGCCGAGAGAGAGAGAGAGAGAGAGAGGGAGAGAGAGAGTGAGAGAAACGTAACGATCGGCGTCGAGAATTTTTCGGAGTAAACATACATTTTCAAATATTTTCCTTTGACTTTACTTCGCTTCTTGATTTCAGCATTATAATGAACATTCACTTCTCTTAGATTAGAAAAGTAGTTGTATGCACTTTAATTCGCAGATGCGAAAAAATCCGTGGGAATTATTTCTCTCTTTCGTCGTTCGCGTTGTATAAATCAGGAACGCCCGAAAGTGATTTTTCGGTACGATGATCGAATTTCCTGTATTTTCTCTATTGTTTTCTAGATTTCCCTTGTCCTGCGATTTATTTTATTCTGAAAATCCTCCCCTTTCCCTTCTCTTTTCCGGTCATTCTCTCTCATTAAGCTCGTACATGGACACCGAAAACCACATCGAAGCTGCGGGCTCGTGAATAGCTAACTGCCGCCTCGTTAATTACCTTTCCGGGTTTTTTTTTCTACCCACGGTGTAATGCGATCCGACAGGAGTTATACGAGGATACGGGGGTGTCCATTTTAACTTTTGTGTTACTCTCCCCGACTTTGCGAAATTTTTAACATCCAGTAGTTTCTTTACGATATCTCATAAAGCGTGTCTTTCACGAGAAAGACCTGTAAGACCTTTCGTGCTTCCCTCACCGAGATATTTAAGGAGGAAAATCTATCTCTTAACCATTCCCTGTCGAGTTACAGGTCTGAATTTTTCATTTCTTCTCAAATGTCTCGTGTAAGTCACGTATTTCATCAGAAAATTCGCGATCCCTAGTTGAGATTTATTAAAAGAACGCATATATGGTACTTTAGAACAAGTACTTGCCGAGTTATGACCCATTTATGACTTATCTGGTACTTTCCTAAAACATTTTTCAAACTCATCTGAAATTGTGGTTTTATCGTTTTGTACGAGAAAAGAAAAGCAAATTAATAATATTTGTCATTGTATTTTTGAATATGATTCTTCAATATTTATAAAAAAAAAGAAAAATTTTTTTTAGTTTTAAAAAAGTTGATATTTCAGTATTTACCGATATTGATGCAGTATTGGCATGTCACTTTGTATCGGGATATTTTCAGCTTCTTTTATAATACGGTATTATCGAAAAATCGCGTAACAAGAATTGAAGTATCATATCCAATTTCGTTTGCTTATTCGAGCGAGATCGATTTCCTTTTCAAAATTTCTTTTGCTATTTTTCCTTAAATCTCCATTCTGTAATCAAAGAATCCCACATTAAATATATGGAAAATTTGATGAAATGAATTAGTTTTTACATATAATGTAGTTTATAGTAATAAATAAAAGATGTCATAGACATAAGGCTGAATAGTAGACAGTTTTTAAACTATGGTGTACCAAAGATGCTTTTGAGTGGAACATTGAGAGAAATGATTTTGTTATAGGAACAAATCAAGGGAAAATAAATGTGATATTTGTTAAAAAATCGATCGATTTGTTAAAATTGCGAATTAATTCGTCAATGTAATAAATAATCAATAGCATCGCTAGCAAATAAGAGGCTCATAGATATATATGTATATATATATATATATATATAAAAGTCATAGACGATTGCATCCCAAATCGTAAGAAATTGACCAATTCTAGTCAAATATTCTCCCTACATTTGACTGTGCTTGGTCGATTTCCTACGACTAACTCCACGATCATCTACGAGATAGATTACATTCTATATAGTTTGTTTCTGTTATTAATAATTAATTGATATAGCAGACTAGCAGCAAACACAACAAAATTTGTTGTCACATATTTATCAATCACCGGTTAAAGGTACTGGTGGCTTGCTAAATTAACAAAATCCTTTCTCTCAGTGAAGTTTTATGCCTTTCTCCATTATTTCTCTCAATTGATTTATTCTCGTCGGTCTAATACAAATCATAATTGTTTTTATATCTTTGCTACATCATAATTCAAAAATACTGAAAAAAGAAGTGTTTAATTTTAAGATATTGAAATGTTTTATTCTTGTCTGCATTTTTTAAACATTTAAAGATGTTTTAGTTTCAAACTTTTTCAATAGACAAAACACTACGTGTTTGGATTTAAAATGCATAGTGTTGTCCATTGAAAAAATTTAAAACTAAAACATCTTTAAGTTTAAAACATGAGGACAAGAATAAAACATTACTTTTTACAGTGAACTTTCCATTATTGAGCTTTGTGTTTATGACATTTTTTATTTATCACATAAACTTCATTATGTATAAAAATTAATTTATTTTAGCAGGACTTAATTTTTCATATAATTAGCAGGATCTTTTCTTCAAATTTTATTTTTAATTTCCTTAAGTTATTAAAATTTAATTTCCAAAATTTTCGTGCCACACGATCTTCCAGACTGTACAGGAAGCGCGATCGGCACTTCCGGGCGATTTGGGCGAAGAACGTAAATTATGTGCGTCACGTAATGTTGCTGCTTCCGTGAACGACTAACACCCATATCCCAGTCACGCTTTCTTTTCCCTTACACCTTGTATATTTCCCATAAGTAATTCATTCCGTCTCTTCCTTGCGGCGCGAGTTGCACGGAGTTTTCAAGTTCGTTACGTCAATCTAATTGCGACGGTTTCTGTCTCTCAACCCTCTGAATTTCAAGTATTTTTCATTTTAAGTGATCTCTCGGGAATCTTTAGCGTCTCTTCCGGCGCAATCGTCGCCTCCCATAAAGAATTTTATTTTCTAGGATTATATGATTTCCGCGTCTTCTCGTTTTCGATGTTTACACATGTAAGCACGCAGAAGATTCGGCAATCAGTTCTACAAGCTTTTATTTGAACAAAAATTTTAATTAGATTCAAATACGACTCGTCGATAATAACGGACGATTAAATGTATGGAAAGCAATTTTCATCGAAGATACATAGGACCGTCTGTGAAAAGTTGGAAGCTTCGTGAACTCCGCACCTCAAGTTGATCTGTTTCTTTACCGTGTCCAACTTCTCTCCAGATCCTCTTCAATTTTTTTTATTTTTCTCGCTTTCCAATGTTTCTCTCTAGAGAGTAAATAGCACCCAAAGATTCGACACGGTTCATATAAAATTCCGTTACGCCTTAATCTGTAAGATGCCATCCTCTCCTCTTTGATTAACACGTAATGGAATATTGATGATTTCGGGTCGAAATTGGACATCACCGATCCCCTTCGATAAGTAATCTCGATGTCTTTACTTTTTCTTTTTTTCTCTTTTTCTTTCTTTTTTCTCTTGCTTTTTCCATTTGCGTCTTATATATTTTTTTTTTCCTTTCGACACGGCTCCTCGTAGTACCGAGGCGCGGCGAGCAATGCGTAACCGATCGACAGAAATCTCTTCTCTTCGTGTAGGAAAAGGAGGATGGACCAGTGTACAAGTTTTACGAGACCATCCGCGATTTCGGGGACGACATTATGTCAACCATCACTCATCTGCATGACGTTACCCTCTTCGCTCCCAGCAACGAAGCGCTGAACGAGCCGAACGTGAAGCAGATGCTGCAGGACAAGAACCGCATGAAGGAAATCCTCAAACTTCACTACGTCAAAGAGCGACTAACCCTCGACAAGATCAAGGACAAGAGCGTCAGCCAAGTAAGTCAGTTTTTCTCTTTGCGTGCGAAATTAACATGAGATTATAACAAAAATCATTCGTCTTCGAGTCACTTGTGTCTTTAAATAAAATATTGTGCCTGAAATATTAACTGCGCTTAACTCTAATCATATTTATGTGGGCTTAAATATATGTTCAATTACCTAAACATATAATCATAAAATATAAGATTCATCTCATATCAAGCTTACTTAATTTTTTGTTAAATTTAAATAATAAACATTGTTTTATTTTAAGAGAGACTCTTCTCTGCGTATTTTCATCAGAAGCTCGACATATACATCGATATAATCATACACGTGGAGGTATATTGTCACATTGATTAACCCAGCCTTTCTTTTTGTTTTTCCAAAGAAAGCAAGAGACTTCGTCGGGAAGTCACAAGTCGGGGTAATTACAGATTCATACAGCTTTCAATGTTCTCTATTTTTTTTTCCTTTTTTATGCGTGAAACTGTTCGCAAACTCTATCTGCATCCATTCGCACTGTCCGCTTTCATGCGTTTCTCCATGTTGAATGTATTACGAGCGCGAAACGAATGCGAGCTAACATTTCCAACACTAACACGCCGCACCAGGGCATTCGGCAATCGATAGCGTCAATAAATCTCGTCCCGCCAATAGCTTTAGTAATCGAACGCCAAAGAGATTTCTATTCTTGCCGCGATACAACGGTATACAAGGTGACCGGAAAGTTACATTGAAATTTGAGCGAGATTTGACGCGTCGCCGCTTAACAAATTTTTATTTCACAATTTTTTTAAAAGGATGCTGGAGCGACGACCGAACTTGATTGATGTCGTTAAAATAGATTTTTAATTTCAAATAGAACGTTATGTAGATATATTAAGTAAAATATACATTTCTTGCTCTGCTATATCCTATATATCTCATGAATGCGGTTATGAATGATTATTCACTCACACTGAAAAATATTTTGATCATTTTTGGTCCAATGAATGATCGTTAATCAATGTCCAACTTAATGTTCAATTATTTCATTGATGCAATAACTGGATTCATTTATATAACTACATAAACATTGCATTCTTGCAATGAATTCCAGTAATAATTTTATAACCCGAATTATAAAAATTTACTGGACCAATTTTCATTAATTTAATAAATATTTTATTGTACAGTTTTGATTCAGTGTAGATCGTACTTTTCCATTCACTTCTCTTGTAAGCTTCGAAATCATAATTTCGTCTCATTATGATCTTATAAATTATTCAAACGTAGGGAAATGATTTTTTGTTGAATATATACTTGCAATCATTTATATATGTGAAGAAACAACCTACTAGTAACATTATAATTTATAATTTCTTTTTACATAGATTTATGTTTTTCCATTATTTTTCTTTTATTCTGAAGAAGGATTTTTCTGTAAGGAAAACGAAAAATGGGAAAGTACGAAATATGCGTTTTGTCAGTATTATACAGACGACTCCAGCATCCTTTTAAATCCTACATTTCTCGGTGTAGAAAACAGGCCCACGATTACCACTTCTTCTATTTTCTACCTGAAACTTCTTTGGATCGAATCCTCAGCTTACCAGCTGACAGAAAAGATTTCATTACTTTTTTTTAGTGGATACACTAAAAGACAATTTTGATAGTGATTATTGATCTCTGACAAAATAATGGAATCTTTAGCAAAAAAAAATGGCAACCGTGATCCACAAGAACGTCAAGCGACTCGTATCGTTTGACGAGAGGCTTTTTTCCGTCACCCCGTATACCGGGAAATGCACGATTCGAATGAAATTGCGGAGAGATTCGACAGTCCGCGGAATGGATTTCTGCCGTTTCGTCGACAATAGGATGTAACGATAATTGCGTATTTTTACGAGAAGTCGAGTTTCCCTTCAGGCGACAGCGGGGATGAACGAACGGAAAGCGAACTCACCTGGTTGGGCGCGATAAGAAAATTCGGCTTCCTCGGATTAAGTGGATTGGAAGATAAAAAAAAGTTTCATGCGGGAGAAAAGAGACGCCTAACGTCATAACAATGCACGAAGACTGTTCCGCTCTTATAAACTTTGCTCAAAGTCGACTGGCACGTCGGTTCGTTTTCGCACTTTTCGAGGCTCATTATCATCCAATCAGCATGACGGAACTTTTCGTCGGAATAACAAAAAGTTCTCGGCAATTTTCCACCGGCTCCTGAATTTCCATTACCTCGCCTTTCCACCCCTTGTAGTATTTCCCCCTCGCATTTGCCTTCGCTTATTTTTACTGAATCGAGAATGTCTTCAGCGACGAAATTGCAATCGTTCCAAGTCCTCCTCATCCCGTTTATACCATATTTAAGACTATCATGGCGCGAACGGTTTCTTTATTGATTTCGTAATTGTTTCAGCGTTTTGGATCTTTCGATCGCCCGCTTATCACCTTTTTTTCGCACTGACGTTCTGTAGATAGAATCGCACGTGCAGCGTTGTTATCCGCATTATCAATCATACGCGTCGCAAAGCGTTTTCCGCGTAGCCTGAGAACGTCTCGTTAGCGCACGCGAGAACTCAATTACATCAGGGAAAACCGGCAAATACCGGTAATCGCAATGCGTCGGAAAAATCAACAAAAGACGTGTAATCGCTCATACGGCGTTGTTCTTTGTCGGCACGCACGATTTCATACATTAATCTTTAGCATTATTAGCGACATCCCCACACAGAAGAAAAAGATTTGTTTAAACAACTAAGAACTTCATTGATACAGAAAATTTATAGTAGCTGTAATATACGGATAGCCAGTTTTCTACATTAAAGTAACAAAATTGTACAGCTGAATACAATTATGGATAATCATATTTGTAAAAGTACAGCAAATTTTTGTTAATATAGCAAAGATAATTTTCTATGAAAATCCAGTATAGATCAAAATTTTTAACAAAACATGCTAGCTAAGCGTAATGTTGATGCTGTACATTCTAAATTTCTTGCAATGAAAAATGCAACCACTTTTGAAAAAAATGACGATCTTTATCATCTTCATTCTTTTTTGAGTGAAATCTCACTTTTTTGGAATGAGATTTTATTTGTTTGAAGTGAAAATTCACTCTAAAAATGAAATTTTACTCTAAAAATAGTCAAAATTGTTTCTTTTCAAGAGGTGAAATACTTTTACTTTTCTTTCAAGAGTGATTATATTTTCACTTTCTTGGAGTGAGATTTCACTATAAGAAATTTAGAATGTAATGAAGAAAACTTGTTACATTAGCAATTTTCATCGCAAAGAATTAACTGAATTAGCATATTGATAATTGCTTAAAGACTTAATTTTTTTGTTGAACCATCAAACCTTACGCGTTGCGGCGTCTACAATACATGGAATAAGAAGTAAGATTAAGAAGTTAACTAATCACAATCAATTATTGTATTTTTCTTACATTTGACTGTGATTGGTCAATTTCTTATTCTTTTTACTTCCTTTTTACTGTTCATTGTAGACGATTTCTTATTCTTCCTTTTACTTCCTTTTTACTATGCATTTGTAGACGATTGTAGATGTTGAAGGAGGCTATAGTTTTGCTGAATTACCAAATTTTTTTTTATGCATTAACGAACGCGTAAAGAAACGTAAAAGCGAAAAAGAGACGCGCGTGACACGCCGTTTCCTGCAATACGAATTTACGCGAGAGCTGAAGGACCGTTGGGATAATTCTCGCGCAAAACCGATAAATTCTTTCCTGAAAACGCCCTCGTATGGCTACGGCTGAGTTTATTGGCTTTGCAACATTGTTTGCAGATTTGCTTGTTATCTATACGCACTGTCGAATTTATAGGGTGCTGCCGTGGTGCGACGCGTCTCGCAAATCCATGGTGAAAAATCATACCCGGCCGATTGCGCCTCGCGGGTTTACGAAAAAAAAAAGGGATAAAACGAAAACGTAGGCAGAATCATGGACGAATTGCATCACGCAAATGTTCGGTCGGAAAATACACCGACGTGGTATCACGATGGAAACTCTCGCGATATCGCTTTACAGTTTCCAAACAAACCAAACATCGGAATCGGATATATAATGATCCGTTCTGCTAATATTCATATATGATGCTATAAAGGAACGAAGCCAATTCTGATTAAAGCGGTTTCCAATTTTCGATCAAAATTTTTCCTTTCCATAAATCGTATTTCAATTAATCGGATATCTTTATAGCTGAGATTAATGTAATAATAATTAACTTTAGAACGGGCTATTGATACATACATTTTACATGCAAATGAGCGAGATCATTGAACGATAAATTACGTCTTTAGTGATCATCAGGAATTCATGTTAAATCTGTCCTATCTATCGTGATAAAAAAAAGCTTAGACAAGCAGAAAAACAAGATTTTAAAAATTCGATCCATATATTATATAAAGCGTGCTAAAGCAAAATGTTATAAGAGCCATTTTCTAAATTAAGAAAGTAACACAAATATTATGTAAAAGAAATTAACAAAAGAAGAGATAATACTGACAGAATTTGTAAGTAAATTCTCTACATTTTTTTTCAATAAAATTTATGATTAAATTGACAAGAATCTTATTCATCTTACACTGTTAGAAAAAAATGTGTCAAATTTATCTTAAATCGCATCCATATCCATTCAAATTTTTGATTAATTTAACACAAGATAAATATGTTATAGGAGATTACAAATATTATGTAAGAGAATAAGCATAAGAAAGATAATATCGATACAGTTTATTAAAAAAATCATATGGAAGTATATTTTTTTCAGTAAAATTAAATTAATATACATTTCATTCATTCATTTTAGAATTGATTAAAACATTTTATTTTTATGCTATTTGTTTACTTACTCATAAATTGTGTCATTTTAATACAAAAAAATATTGAATATCAAAATCTTTAAATAACATAATAATCATTATATTAAATCAATACTCAAATAATTTAACTCATAATTTTTACAAGGACGAATCGTTTCCAATACGAATACAAAATATTTTTTATTATGTATATGTACTTAAAATTTACATATCAATAGCAATACTTAATATCGGTAGCGCATTTTAGGATTAAGTCGCAACTTTCTGAGTGAAAAATTCCATGATATTATGTAACAAATTCCCTCCTGTCGAACGTTATTCCTCAAAAGTTCCTTGAACTCTCGCTACTTTTATCGTAGTTATAAATAGCGAATCGGGCCGTAAACCAGAATAATCGAGTATTACCTTCTTATTTCACGAAGTGTGCGAACGTCTGGAAGCGGGAAAGCGTCTAATATCCTGCGGGAAAACTCGTGGAGCGAAAGAAATGTAAAGCAGCGTTGCGTCCCGCGCTTTCCAACGTTTCCTTTCCGGTCGACGGAACGTCCTCCATTTTCTCGTCATCATGATACACGTCTTCACGGTTGTCTACAGTATCCGTAA